ATTCTCGAATCATCTCCAAAGCCATACATTTCTTGTTCGGCTTCATCATACAATCTATTTCGAGGATCCACTTCTTCGTCATACTGCAGACAAGTGTCAATTTGTAGCATGATCGCTTCTATGGTCTCTTCTTTCTCTCTGTTGAGAGGCATAAACTGTACAAGACTGTAGCGTGAAACAATATCCGCAAGTGCTTTGGAGAGTCGAAAAAACTTAGAACCCATAGACGCTGTATTGGTATCATTATCACAGTCATCACTAGAATCACCGAAGAATTCAGTCATATCTGGTTCCATGTACCTAGCGATCACGTGTTTTTCTTTTTTTTCTGACAGTAAATCCAGCTTAGACATAACATTTACATGAGGAGTAGAGAATGCTGACATGCTTGAAAGCGCAGCAAGCACACCAGCCAAGAAATGTGAGGAATCAACCAAAAATCTTGCATCAAGAATAAAAACGGTAACAAAGCGAAAGTCCCATTTATTCATCAAATGTTCCACGATTCTAGGCATTATATTAAGATGAGAGTATAATTCTATTTGTCCAGGGCAATCGAATAGGATATAATCCCCATCGTCGTCACCGATGGCCTCATCAAGCCAATCGAGATTTTGATACAAAAATTCCATACAAAAAATAAGTCCTCCATTAGGGCCAAGCTTAAGGCTTTCATCCTGCATTACGTCATCTACCTAAGGATTTAATGAAATACAATCGCCTGACTTGAATCAAGTTTTTGACGTCTGCAATAGGCTCATAGTCAAAATATTCGGCGGCCGGATCAAGATTTAATACAGATACTTGGCGTTTAATCGCTTCGCAGTGTTTTTGTATGATTGAGCAATATGTTGACTTGCCACAACCAGCAGGGCCAATCACGAGTTGTCCGAAGCGAGGCATAGAGACAAAGTGAGCGGGATAAGACAAACCACTTTGCCTACTCATTAAAAATCTTGTTACTCATAGTAAAGTTGATTTATTTAGTAAAAATTACTTTCTTGTGAAGACATATTTATATTTTAGTAATTATTCTACACATATTTAAAGCGCTTCGCACGATCTCAGTGCCTCAGCTTCTTTCAAATGCGAATGCTCTTTCAACTTCAAAATGGGTAAGATCTTGGAATCTTTGTATATTTATCTGATAAAGAAAGTGAATGCCTAGAAAATACGCCTTATGTATCTCTCGTTGCGTTTAACTTCGTTTTTGTTGGTGCTGGGATCATGTGTGGCACAGTTTATGAGGGGATAAAAAAGGTTGATACTATTTTCAAAGTGACTTTCTACCCTTTGCATTAGTAAG